AAATTATCATTTGTTTTCACCAAACTTAGAGAAAAGGTACCTATTCTCCCATTAATAGTTAAATTAATAGATAAATTCAAAAGTAACATAATATATAATACAACATTATTCAATCATACCAGCATTATTCCACAAATAGTGTAATTCTCCAACCTCTTTAATAAATTTGTTGGCGAAATTCTTTACACTATGCAGATCTGCCATATCCATATCCCATAATTCAACACATTCTACATTTCCGTCCTTAGACGTTCTGATATATTCCAAGAGAAGGTTACCTTTTTCTCGATTACGAACTGGAAGTATTAGGCGTTTTGGATTATATGATGAGATGATTCGGGTTAAACTTTTACCAATTCCTAAAAAAAAATAAAAATAAAAATAAAAACAAATGTTATTACAGTAATTTCAAAGAAATTTTCGGTTAGTTAGAAAGAAAAAAGGATGGACCATCTGTAGAGCCAGTAATTATAACGACTTTGTTTGATAAGTCAAAGGAATCGATAGTTGACTGATTTGAACCCATTTCGATTTAAGAAGATGTATTGATGAAATTTATTTACAATACATAATATATATGTGTATGTACTGTACGTACCACACGCGCATTCATGCTATGTGCACCCAATAATACGTCGACTCATCAACCTGTAGACCATTCTTCAGCCACATATTCCGTCATCAACATTATCAGATTCTGACTAGGGTAAATTAGCGGCAAATCGGTCCTAATTTGGAGTCAGGAATTAGGGGCTTTACTTATTTGTGCCAGTAATAAAAAGGAAATAACCAATCAGTGAGTTCGAATTTTGATCGTTCCGGATCAGCCTGACATAAATTCCGAACACGTGCGAAAAAAGAAAAAAGCGAAAATACTCAAAAACTAATGTTTAATCGACCAAATTCACTAATTAAAAATGTCGGGAACGAAATTTTACATATAATGAGCAATAGTCTATGGCTATAGCTTCTAATGGTAACTTCCTAACCCTAAATTTGTGGTTTTACGCACTTTTTCCTTTTTTGGGTTGTATTACTGGCACCCACGTTAAGCCCGAAGAAGTCAAAAAATAAAGAAAACGCAAGAAGACAAAAAAACAGTAGTCTAAACTTGTCTTGGGGCACTAATTAAAAATGCCGAGAAGACAATTTTACCTACATTCCTCTTCATATCAACACCAACCTAACCCTAATTCTAACCTTAATTTTAATTAAACCGATTAAACCGTCAAAATCACATGGATACATGGCTTTAGCCATCTCCCTAATTTGGTATATTCCGGACTGTATTATCGTTATTACATTTTTTCAGACCCGTGTTGATCAAAACAAACAAGTTGATTGGCCATATATCACATGATTGCGCTCTTCGTGCAGTTTGCTATACGACTATTTGCAACACCGGTTATGCAAGACAATGATGCGTGCGCAACAGTATCGATGCTCTTGGCATATATAACAGCAGGTGCCTTTTAGAATTCAAAAATTATTCACTCTCTTATATATATAAATTAAACCATGATTATTGAAAGCGACTTGGAAAACTTAAATTTACCTTATTTTGATATCAATCAACTTAAAGTTATTAAGAGAATTGGAAGTGGAGCGTTTGCAGATGTGTACCAAGCCGAATTAGCAAACTCGAATTTAAAAAATTTAAAGTGTACTGCATTGAAAGTCTTCAGGCCATTTGAAGAATCCGAAGCTTCTCGAAAAGCTATACTAAAAGAGGTGAAAATGGTCAAATTTACGTATACTATGTTAAGGCAAATTAAATGCAATTTTAATATATAATTTAATATATAATATGAACTCATATAGATTGCATCACATAAAAAAGTGGGTGCAGATGATAAGGTTATACAACTTTATGGATTCACTAAAATGAAAGGTTATATTACCGTTACTTTATTGATTTCTGGATTAAGTATTCATTAATTCTAACCTAATATTAAAATTATAAATAATCAACTAGTCAATGTTTATGATTCTGAATTGAGTTATGCGTTAGTATTAGAATTTGCAGATAACGGCACACTAAGGAATTACTTACAGAAAAATCCTGATCTCAGTTGGTCCAATAAGTTTTGCCTCGCTCTACAGCTTGCTAAAGCTATTATGCACATGCACTCTAAAAATATTGTCCATAGAGATCTTGTAATTAAAAATTTATATAAGTTTGTAAATTAATGTAGTTTAAATGCTTGTACTATATCTAACACTTATTAATGTAATACATACAGCACTCAAATAACGTACTAATTCACGAAAATAATATTAAAATAGCCGACTTTGGACTGTCTAGATGTTTAACTGATGCATCGAAAACCACCACATGGCTTGCTGGCTATTTGGCATATATTGATCCACATAGCCTCAAGAATTCTGAAAAGAAATCACAAAAGTTAAATAAGGAGTATGATATATACAGCTTAGGTGTGCTCTTATGGGAAATATCCAGTTTACATCCTCCATTTGATGGACAAAGTAAAAACGATCTGTATATTCAGATATTAAATGGTTGTAGAGAGACACCTATTTTAGGAACCCCACAACAATATCTTGCTTTATATACTGGTTAGTTATTCATATTTTTGCGGTTTTGCTAGTTATTATCCTTCAAACATTAAATAATTTATCTATTAAAGAATGCTGGCAGGATGATCCGAAAAAACGTCCTACCATTGATAAAGTTGTATATGAACTCAGGTGAATGACTTAGAATTATAATATGTAAAAAAATTTAATCAGATCAAACAAAATTCTAATCACTTATACATCAAACTAGCGGAATGCAAATAACAAGGTATTCGATGCTAGCATTTTTAACATCTGAATTTTTTTAAATAAAATTTTTATAATCAATTTTATAGTCAGTAAGTATTATTTATGTTATTTAAATTAAAGTGTGTAGATAAAAGGTTTAATATGCCTCCATTTTTTTGTAATTATAGTACTTACAAATTACTTTACTGACATATAAATCAGGAACGACAAAGATGATAGCGATAACGAGACAATTAATTCATTGAATGAAGAAGTGTCGTCTTCTGTGCCAATGGAATATGAGGAAATAAATAACGAAGGAAATCAATTCGACACAAACCCATCGGAAGCAGCAGAAGCATCCTCAAACTTTGTACCTTTCGCACCATTAATAGATATATTTTTAAAACTAGGGGATGATATAGTAATGTTATATTCAAAGGCAGAACATAATAAACATTTATGTAGTTATTTAACAAAGCGGGTAAATTCTGCTGTGGCAACTATAAAGGATTTACAAATTCGAAAACAAGACCATTTAGAATTTTTTATAGAACAATCTAACCTTCAACTTATAAAAGATTTTTTAAAATGTGTGCATGATATTAGAAATTTTATTACGGATGTTTCTCAGCCCAGTTCATTTGATAACTTCCTTCAGGCTGGTAAAATTGTACAAAAGTATAAGGATTTGTCGATTAGGTTTGATAAATACATAGCAACATTAAATTTTGCGATGAACAAAACTACTGAAGATCCTACACTCTTCTTAAGTTTAAACGATTATAAACCTAAATATGATACTGAACCCCGTGGTAAATACATTCATTGTAGATGGAACAATGCATCCCTTTTAGAATATGCATTTAAAGAAATTCCTCAAATCAATGATGAACAAACTGAAAGGGAAATTGGCGAACAAGTAGTTATTCTGGAAAAATTAAAAAATTCAGAATACATTGTTAAGTTTTATGGAATAGCAAAATCTAATGATGGATTAAAATATTATCTGGTGACAGAGTGGATGGAGAATGGTAATTTACAGGAATATTACAAAACACATACATTGGATTGGAATAAAAAATTTGAATTTGCCATTGATATCTGCCGAGGAATTGCCTTCTTGAATTATCAAAAGGTATATAGAATATCCATTCCATATTAACAAATAATGTTATATTAAATGGTAAATTTATTTCTAATTTATATATTATTTATGCTAACAGATTCTGCACCATGATATCAGAGGTGCAAACATATTAATAAATAGCAATCACAAGGCTAAAATTGCTAATTTTTGTTTAAGTCGCGAGTTCAGAGATATTACTAGAAATATCCAAGTTAGTCTTGAAAATGTAAGATATATGGCACCTGAGAAGTTGGAACATGGTGATAAACGACGATACACTGTTGAATGTGAAATCTATAGGTACATATTATCAAATATTAAAAATGATATAAATTTACATAATTATATTTGTCCTAATTTGATTAAATATCAAATTAATATTTTAGTTTAGGAGCTCTTTTATGGGAAATTGCTGAAGAAGCAATACCTTATGCGAGAGAAGGAGTAGATTTGCAGACTATTCGTGACCGTGTTGTCAAAGAGAAATATCGTGAGCCATTTTCTTCAAATACACCTAAAGTTTGGCAAGACATCACATATGCAGGCAGGTATTACTATTAATGTATTTACTTAATTTTTAAATCGTGAGTATTTAAGTATCTAATTTTTTTATATATTAAAGCTTTAAGTCATGATCCAAAATTTCGTCCAACAATTTCGAAAATATTCACAGTTCTTTATGATTATCATCATAACGATGAAAATTTTGAAGATGATTTTGTAATTTATGATAGTTTAATGACAGTAGATGTAGCAATTGAAGAACACCGAAAACCTGTCGGAAATAAGCGAAAAGTATGGGAATGCTTCAACCAATTTGCTGAACAAGATGACATAACTGCAAAATACTGGGTTGGTCACTATCTGTATCATTCTGTTCTTCCTGAGCATAAAGATAATCGTCAAGAAAATCTTCAGCGTGCGGCAAAATTGTTTAAAGAAACAGCTGATTGTGG